TTACATCCCCAAATAAAAAGATAAGTGAAGAAATAAGTGAGTATAAATATTTTCTCTGTGAATTACACATCTTGTTTTGGAACAACATTGCTAGGGGTCAGAAAACATGTGGGGAGATGGCCTTATCCTTATAATGTGACCTTGAACTAGTCATAGCCAAGGTCCAGTTGTCCCTTTGACAAAGTCCATAAAGTAACATTCAGCAAGACTTTATTATAGATGAAATTTCTTTATTAGCAAAATACACTTGTGAAATATGTACTTTTCAATTAATAAGAGGAATGTTATTAGACTACCTGTGTGTACACAGTATTCTAACATTTGCAAAATATCTCCATTTTCTTTTGTTTTTTAAATATTTTTTTAGTCATAGATGGACACAATACCTTTATTTTATTTTTATGTTGTATTGAGAATCAAACCCGGTGCCTTCCACATATGAGGTGAACACTCTACCACTGAGCTACAACCCCGGCCCTCCATTTTCTTAATCACTATATTTGCTCCTAAAACACACACACACACACACACACACACACACACACACACACACACACAAATACTAGAAAAAAGATCTAACTCATCTATCAAATAAAAATATTTTAGTCTTGAGACATAAAAAATAAAACATAAACATTTGAATATTTTTAGTTATAATTTACACATTGTACAATTTACCCATTTCAAGTACAAATTTTAGTTTTTTTCTAGCAGATTTACAGTTATGGAGGAACTACAGTATGATTTTAGATCATTTTTATCACCTCATAAAATCCCATATACCCATTTTCAGTCACTCTTTGTTTCTGTTACTAAAACAGAAAAATAACAATGTTCTAGTATAAGTGTGTCCCACATATTGCCTGGGACATGCTTATGCTAAAACATTTTCATTATTTATCTGAAATTCAAGTTTAACCAAACATCTTATATTTTATCTGGTCATCCTTCTAAAACATGAACTTCAAATCTCTCTTTTTCCTCTCCATTATTGTTGATAGATGTGTACATCACTTGTCCCCAATCTCTTCATTGGTAGGCAAAAAATATACGTTCATAAGATAGTTGACCAATGACTTATGTTTTCACAATTTTGCTGCATAAATCTCCATTGGGACAACCAATCAGTTCTAAGGACAAGTAATTTTAAGTAACTAAACCTTATATCCTTTTTAGCACAGTTACCAGAGGACTTTAGCCTGGAGGCCAGGCTTGAAGCCACCCTGGGATGTTGCAAATGCTTATGATTTCTATCTGCCGTGTCCTGAGGCAGTACATTTCCACCTTTGGCATACACTGGGCATTGTGCATTTTAGAATTAGTCACAGTGCACTGTATATTTGCCACATCTAGTGAAGGTGTGACCCTCGCTCAGTGGGGAATCTGTTCAGGGACTAGTAAGTATCAAGTCACATGGAAAGGACAAAGAAAAGACATTGCTCTGTTTTATTCATATCACCATGGTGTTGGAGACCTGAGCTCTCAGGCAGGAGCTGTTCAGTAGTCTGAGACCTTCCATTTGTATGAAATAAAAGCTTCACTTGGAACATGAACATTAGGTTTGGAAGACTAGGTTAAACAAATGTTGGGGGGAGAATATTTTATCTCTTTCAGTCTCAATCAAGTGGTTCCTATTTGTTCTTTCTCTCATTCTACAACCCCAGTTTAGACCATCAGTCAATCAGGCAAAAAATACATCCTGAGAATGTGACTTGATGGATACCATATGCCAGCTGGTGGGAAAGATACACAAAAGTTCAAAGAGTGTGTGCGTGTGTGTGTGTGTGTGTGTGTGTGTGTGTGTGTGTGTTGCTTTGTGGTCCTGATGCCTAGCTCAGTGCCTGGTAGTGTCAACATGCAATTCATGTGTCAGACAAATGAATGCATTCAGCAGTGAATAAAAAATTCTTCTTGTTCTCAATGAGGTTACAGCCTATTGTATTGATATTTAGAAAATTTTAAAGCTCAGCAGAGAAAATCCATCCATCACAATCTCATTTGAGGTTTTGCTCTGCTTGAAAATTTTGCTTTTATCTTGAATGTTCAAAAACTCTTGATTTCCCATTTTAGACCCCAGAAGCCAAAACACTAAATCCTTCTTCCGGAATTTAGAAGTAGAAGACACTCTTTTGGGCTGGAGTGGTCTTTCTCTGATGAGAGGAGAAACAAGCAATCTGGCAAGATGGTATTGCAAGTTGGGGCATAAAATGCAAATGTAAATTCAGAGTCAGAGGCTGAAATCGATACAAATATGATCTCATGCTAATATGAAGCATTTATTTATTAAAACGCTTTTAAAAATCAATTGAGCATATTTGTGTGGTTTATTTCTAGATTCTCTGTTCTGTTCCATCGATCTTTGTGTTTATTCTTCTGCCAATATCATAATGTTTGGTACTATTATATAGCAGATCTTAAAATCAAGTAAAATGATTCCTCCAACTTTATTCTTCTTTTTTCAAAATTGCTTTTTCTGTCCAGGTTTTGTGCCTTTCCCTTTAAATTTTAGAATAAGTTTGCACATATTTACTTTAAAAAATCCCTTGCTGGATTTTGATAGGATATGCATTAAATCTATAAATGAATTTGGGATTAAAATATTTTATCCACATGAAATCATTTTATCTTCTGGGAACTAGTGATTGATGACACACACATTCCCCACTCCCATGCAAATTTGATGACATTTAGGCAGCTTTATTCTCCATATAAAGAAGGAAAGGCTACAGAATGTTTTTGCAACAAGTTCCAGTAGAAAATGGACTAAGAATAAGAAGTGAATTATAAACATTCCTTAATTTGCCCTGACATTCCACCTCAATATGCCCATTGTATGTTGAAAATACCCTAGGTCAAAAATTTATTTTAATACACCTAACTTACCCAACATCCTGGCTTAGCAAGCCAGTACAGTAGATAGCACAGGTTGTGAGAAACTTTTGCTCATTGCTCCTGGATTTCTTTTTGCATCAGGAGAGAAAATTATACCACATAGTGCTAGCCCAAGAAAGATCAAACTCAAAATTCAAAGTAAGTTTTTCACTGCATACATATCACCTCCACACCATTGTAAAATGAAAAAAAATAAAAACTTTAAGTTGGAGACTCTCTGTACTATCACAGGATGCAATTCCATGTCTGAGGGAGGCTTCAACACAACAAGCTTCCTGTCTCCACTGGAAGCTAATTAAATCTGACCTCAGGTGACAGGGTTTACTCATGGGGTATGATGAGTCAATCTCAACCTTAGAGATGCACTTTTTTACTTAGTTTGGGGCAATAATTTAGAAATGACAAGACCTTTTCTATTCCTTGGCTTATAAATTTCTTTGTATTGCATGGAAATCTTATCTAAATCAGTTTATGGTCAATCAGTTCTCAACCATCAGTTAACAAAACAAGATTTGGGCAGTGGCAAAACAACTCATTACTAAATTTATCATTCCAAACTAATGCAGGCTACTGAAAGCTCAGGATGTGACATTGTAGTAATCTTCTATTATTGCTATTTTATTATCAATTAATGATTCCTAACATCACTCAAAATGTAGTTAATATCATCTGCCATCAAAATAACAATAGCTTGGTAGGAATGTAAATGGTATAGCCACTATGGAAAACAGTATGGTAGTTCTTCAAAAGATACAAAATCAGAACTACCATATGATCTAGCAATGCCACTCTTGGGTACATATCCAAAGGAATTAAAAGCAGGATTTTTAAGAGATAATTTTACACGTGTTATGGCAACATTATTCATAACAGTGAAGAGATAGAAACAACCTAAATGTTCATCTCCAGATAAAGAACATGTGATATACACACACACACAAATACACACACAGTCACCTGCACACTCACGCACCCACACACACTTTTAAAGGGAAGAAATCCTGCCACATACCACAACATGGATGAAGCTTAAAGACATTTTCTTAAAAGTTGGGCATGATGGTGCTTGCCTATCCCATAATTCAAGCAACTTCAGAGACTGAGGTAGGAAGATTGCTAGTTGGCGGTCAGCTTAGGCAACTTTGCAAGACCCTGTCACAATTTTTTCTTTTAAAGACATTTTCCCAAATTAAATAAGTCACAAAAAGCTCTATGATTCCACTTAAATGTGGTATCTCATGGAAAGGCCAAGTAGAATAGTAGTTGTCAGGAAAAGGGGAAGAGAGAGATGGGGTATTGCTCTTCAACAAGTTCAGAATTTCAGTTTTGCAAAATGAAAGAGATGAGAGATCTGTTGCACAGCATGCAAATATAGTTAACACAACAGAATTGTGCACTTAAAATGGTTAAGATGATATGTGTATTTTACCATAATTTTTTGAAAAGGACAGTAACAGTTATATTAACATCCAAAATTTTCTTAGTTAAAGAAATGTTTGTAGGTTTAATTTTTAAACCTTTTTTATCCTCATATAGAATGAGTCTTACAGACTGGACAGAGATTATTTACAAATTTGCATAAAAGATTGAGGCTAAATATGCATCATTATGTGCAAAGCCTAAAAGGCACAGAGTTATTTAAAATAGATTAAATGATGTGGAATAAAACTTTCAAAAGCTGTGATTGGAAGTGTCAGAAACCTTAGCTTTGAAACAAGTAACATTTAATCACACAGATTATAAAGAAGCATAAATTTTTGTAGGTTGTTTTCTTCAATCAAATTTACATTTTAATCTGCTGAGACTGTTCATCACTTTTGGATGTCTGATACCAAGCAGCTTGTCAGAACTTATAAATGCAAGCTGCCTGCATTAGGAACAGAACTTTTCCTTTAAGCACAAAGATAATGAAAGTTTAATTAGAATACTTCAAGACCACAAGTATCTGAAAGCAGTGAGATTAAAATAAAGGCCTTTTGTCTATCTGTAGTTCTTTAGTTACTAAAAGTTAAAAAAAATCATTTATGCCCACAAAATGGCTTTGAGAGATAATAAAATGTATAACTTACCAAAGATGGACACTTGTAAAAGAATACAAAAGGCTATACGTCGTTGGCAGAGGGCAACTGAGATATGTACATGTAAGTTCTCATCAAAAGTTGGGTTGGGAGGAAATGCATTGGGCCATTTTGGTGGACCTGCTGAAACAAAAGGGATTCAAGGAGAAGGAAGCCCCACAGAGCTGCAGGCTTTGGCAGTTCCTGCATAATGAATGCCAACTCCTCTTCATAGTTGTCCAGGGAATTTGTTTTCAATATGATCAGGTTCTGAAGCCACTCTTCATTTGATTTTACCATCATCCTAGAAGGTTGCTGTTGCCATGAAGTACAACTATGTGGTTATTGAGGTCATGATAACAAAATGTGGTTTGTGTTTATTTGTATTCTCCTTCATAACACAAGTGCCCTAGGAAGATAAGTAGAAAAACAGATTAATGAATCTGTACAAAGACAGAACTTTCCCAGAATATGCATCTTTGGTCAGAGATGACAGTGACATGGGTGAAAATGTTGTAGTAATTAAGCATTTTTCCAAACTATCATGATGATACATTTTCCCTAAAATGCTTTAATGGATTTGTGCTTGTTTTACATGGGCTCAAGGGACAGAATACTTGGCATAAATTACTAGCATTTTTTAATTGGCTCACAAGAAAATAATCCCTTGGAAAAGGCTAGTGAGGGCACATTGACATGCACACTGCCAGGCATGCAATGTGCATCTACTACTCAGGAAGCACTGGACTTCCACACAAGTGATCCAAGCATGAAGGAAATCATCCCTGTCCTCCACTCAAGAAATATATATATATCTAAGGACTCAGATTTAAAAGTACCATGAAGAATCAAAGAATAAATTTCCTGTTGAAAACAATTTCATGAAATTCCTCTTATTCTCTTTGTTTGCTACTGGGAATCTATCTGTATTAGTTTAAAAAAAATGACCCTTTTGTTTCATGAACATTCAGAATGGTAATTAATAGCTCCCCAATTCCATGTGAATGATAGTAGTCTGAAAATCGATTTACTTTACCACTAGAGCATTTAATATTCACAAGTCCAATACTGTGTGGTGATTATAAAGGAAATTAGAAAGTAGAATTCCTTGTTACTGAACATGTTCCTTGCTGCCTGTTCTCAAGCAATTCCTGACAGAAGGAGTGAAAAGATTTATAATAGGGAACTTTCCTTAGTATCAGTATGGCTCAGTATAGATAACAGTGGGCTTTTGGATGGGAGTTAGGATGGTTTAAGATAGTTCAGTCCTGGTTGCCTTGAGGCTAAGATGTCTATGGGTCATCCAAATGGAAACACAAAGGAAGATCTAATATATTAGCATCCAAAGTTCACAATGGAGATATGGACAGGAGATACAGACTTAAATATACAAGAGCAATTGATGTTGGCACAGGGGATGAGATCACCAAAGGAAACTGCAGTGTGAGAAGAGGCAAGGTGCATGCTGGAGTTTGAGTTTTACAGGAAGAATTTATGTTCCGTATGTTTATTGGGGAATGTGCTTAGCATCCAAATCTGCAGAGGAGTCAGGTGGTGAAGCAAGGTTAGGCAAAAGGAGAAGCTGAATTGCAATGTTATTCAATAATCTTAGCTAACCTTCCATGGTCTGAATTATATGTCCCCCCCAAATCATATTATGAAATTCAATCCACAATATGGTGCTGTTGGGGGTGATTAAGTCATGAGTGCTCTATCCTAATTGATTGGGATTAGTATCCTTTCAAAAAACTAGGAGGAACTCATTCATCCTTTTCTTCATGTGGACATTCATAGAAGGCACTCTCAATGAGGAACAGTTCCTCACAAGACAGCACATTGGCTGGCACCACAGTCAAGACATTTGTTTTAGCTACTGAATTGGCTAAGATACAGATAGCCTAATTGGATCTCAGGAGGTGCATTTTTTTGTTGTCAGAATTATCCCACATTTGGTCAAAATGACTAGATCTGAATACTCTGTCGTGATCACCCAGTTACTGGATATAAGTGTCCTAGGGAGGGTGAGAATTTACATGAGACTCATCTCTGCAACTAAGCTGAAAACTATCTATTGCCTGTACTCATGGAATCTATGGCAGAAGGTCCTTCCATAACAGGAGATCTGAGTGCCACCTCTCCATGTCCACAACACAACAAATGGAAAAATCAGTCAAATGAGCAGAGAAAGAAAAGCTTAAAGCTCAGAAGTCATAGTAGAATGATAAAATTTCTGTGCTGTTTTGGAAGAGTTAGAAGCCAGAGGATGAATAGTGTTAAGTGCTATTTTTTTAAAAAATGCAGGTAAATTAGGGGTCAGCAAATATAGATAAATGTCAAGCGTTTCCAGCTACAGTAAGAGGTACATACCTTAAAGAGACATAATTTTTATATGAGTATGAAACACAAAGGGTTCAAAAGTGGCATGAAGGACAAAAAGTTTGTAGAGATAAAAATCTCAGTCTGAATCTTTATGGGATTAGAAGTATAGGTGAAATCCATTTATTAGGACCAATTAGATCCAGTTATCTTTAAAGGGAAGTTAACTTTCAGTTGAAGCAAGTGGTACAAGGGGTTTCCAATAAGTCAAGAATGTCAAAGGTTTAATTTGTCACATTGAATGTTCCAGAGCACATGGGAAGGCTTAGAAGAAAAATGGCAGGGAGAAAATAGAAGGGAAGAGAAGAGAAGGGAGAGGAAACGAGAAAACTAATCTTGAGACAGGTGAAAGTCTGCACAGAACAGCAGATGGAGTGAGATTATGAGAAAGGAGAGATGTACAAAGAGCTCTTCATGCTTTGGATGGGATAGTGAAGTATGATGAAGTTTCCAACCCCAAAACTTCCAAAAGAACTCATCACAGCAGGCTTATTCTTAGAAAGACACAAACTTTCTGGAAGGAGTTAATAATTTTGTTTGATAGAGAGTATTTCACAGGATTTGCATCTTGGGACAATGGGATGGATCTGTTCTCAGAACACCCACAAGCACTAAGTACGGCAGCAACTGTGTTAGCTTTTCACTGCTGTAAAAAATATACCTAAGATAAATCAACTTATAAAGAGGAAAGGTTTATTTAGGTTCACCGTTTGAGATTTGTGTCCATTGCCAATTGACCCCATTGCTTTTGAGCTTGTGATGAAGCAGTATATCATGACAGGAGCACTTGGCAGAGAAAGCTGCTTACCTTATGAGGTCTAGGAAGCAAGGAGAAAACAAAAAATCTCCAAACAGCACCAGAGTCTTGGGAACAAGCCCTTAACACATGGGTCTTTGGGGGCTATTTAAGATATAAACTATAGCATCAACTTTTAATATATTGAACGCCTTGATGGAAGGCACCAAGGTGTGGCATCCATCACGGTCTGTCACAAGGTCAATGTCCTATTCTCTTCTTTTCCTCTTCTTTTTTGTTCTATTAGTAAACAATACCTATGTATTGAGAGTTTATAGTTGTAGGTAACTATCCCAGGGCTTGAAGACAGAAAGATAAAAGAATGAAGTGCATTCCCACCCTTCAAATGCTCAGAGCAAAATTAATATAGTTATTTCAGTCAGGAAAAATGTTGCAAGACAGGCATGCAAATGAGCACTCTCAACCAGGAGGAAATCAGAGCCAAATATGTGATGCAGATGAGTAAAGACTTTAATAAAAGTTGAGAAATGTCCCTGGGCACTGTTTTCTATGTATTTCCTATGACTGCTGCTGTCAGGTGTAACATTGCTAAGATATTAAGTGAGAAAAGGTTGGTGAAAATGGAGTCAGTGAGAGATTTCAGGAAAAAAAAAATACCTGCGTAATGATTATTCTGTTCATTCAAACATCAGTGTGTTGGAGCAGAACCTGCCAACTGTTTAAGAGATACTTTCTGGTCAGACTTTCCCTCTCTAGGTGAGGAGGGATCATTTGTCCTCCGTGGAGGCCAGGCATTCGCTGCCCTTCATAGAACATGCCTGTGCCATTGTCCTGTCCTTCCTCTACCTGCTGTTCTTCTCATCAGCTGACAAGTCTTGGTAAAACAATCCGATGGGAGTGTTTTGTTTGGGACACACAGCAAAACAGGTCTAGCTTGCCCTTCTCCCCCAAATCTGCAATTGGTCTTCATCAAAACCAGGTTCTCACTAGCCTATTTCTCTAGCCTAGCAACTCAACAAGAGGGTTCAACTCTCATTACTGACACAGATTTTAAATCGCTACAATTTATTCATTAGACATTATTGAATGCCTACTGGAACTGGGAAGTTCAATATGGTAAAGGCATACTCCCTTCACTGAAGCCTTGAGGAGGGAAGAACATCAACAAAATAGTCCCTGAGGGCTGGAATGCTTGGACAGCATGAGACATAGTCCTTCTGTTTACTTCTTTCATGTTATGATAAAAACCTTGAAATAGTTAACAGTTATAAACCAAATCCTATTTGCATGATTATACACATTAATATTTAATATACACAAACATGTCACTCTTTCATATAATAACCAAACAAAGATATTCAAATCTGGAAGTTAAGTATATAAGTTCACATTTGACTTAATAAGTCTGTGTGTGGGTAGTGAGGTCTTTTGTAGGTTTCTAGTAGGTCTAGTAGGTTTCTTTGTAGGTCTCATACCTATTTCTTTAGCCTTCCCTGGGATTCTAAGAGCTTCCCTAAAAGTTTCTAGTAAATTACCTTTTAAAAAAATTCATTCAGGGCTGGAGATGTGGCTCAAGCGGTAGCGCGCTCGCCTGGCATGCGTGCGGCCCGGGTTCGATCCTCAGCACCACATACCAACAAAGATGTTGTGTCCGCCGAGAACTAAAAAATAAATATTAAAAAATTCTCTCTCTCTCTCTCTGTCCTCTCTCACTCTCTCTTTAAAAAAAAAAAATTCATTCAGAGTTAGTTTGTTTCTTTTAGCCAAAGAACTCAAACTGATACCACAGTCATCATCCAAGGGCAGCTAGAAGCCCATGTGGCTGTAAAACTGAAGAGAAACATCAAAATCACATATAATAGATATAAGTCCCAAAGTATAAACCTTCAGGGCAGACATCGCAAGTTGCAGGCATTGGTTTGTGACAGAGCTTCTTCTCACTTATGCTCTTTGGTACAGACACAAGGATTTAGTGACTTGGTAATGGTAAATAATGTTTCTGAAAATGTAGGAGAGGTCATGTACAACACAATTAAAATTCAAAGGGGAAGGAGGTCACTGTCATAGAGAGATACAGGAAAAGTTCTATGGACTCCAAAGTAAGATACTGTTTATAGTCAGAGATAACGAGGAGGAATCTCAAAGGGAGAAAAGGTTGGGCCAGGTG